GAGGAAGAGGAAGAGGAGGAGAAAAAGGAGGAGGAAGAGGAGGAGGAGGAGGAGGAAGAGGAGGAGGAGGAGGAGGAGGAGGAGGAGGAGAAGGAGAAGGAGAAGAAGAAGAAGAAGAGAGTGAAATAGTATCAAATCTTAGATTTGGAATTGGTAACACTGATTAGCAGAACTCAAAATAAATTTTTTAAAAGGGAGAGACAAAATTAGTTCAGAAAGGAGGAAGGAGGTGTCTGTTCTCCTGTAATTAATCATAGCTTTAATAGTGGATCCAGCTTATGGATCACTTTCATATTAATTAGCACATTCTGAGGACAGACTTTCACTTAATGCCACTATATTCAACCAAGGCCAGAACAGTGACCAAGGGAGGCCAGGGCCACGCTCTTCTGACACCCAGAGGGATACAGCCTCAGGGAACTGTACCAGCGTGTTTTTAAAATGTGTAAGATTAGAAACACAGACAAGCATCAGGAAGGGACAATAGATGCTGTGATTGGGAGTGTGGGGCCCAGGAGGGCTTGCAGAGAAGTAAAAGGAAGAGCTTAGCACAGGCGAGGCTGGAGGTGCAGCTCCGTGGCAGAGCCCTGGCCTAGAAACAGGCCTCGGGTTTCAGCCAAAGGAAACAGGCTGAGCATCAGTGAGCCTCCTCTAGAGTTGGACTCATTTCTGTTACTGGTTTGATGGAGTTCTTTGTTACTTATTTCTTCATCAACTACCTTTAGTGACCTCAGAGGAAGCAATTCTTACCTCTGAGTTAATAAGCACGGGTAATGTCTGCCAGGAAGAGCCATTCCAGGGAGGTATTATACTTCGTGTGACAGAAAAGGAGGTCCTTGTTCCCTGAAGTACCAAAGGGTTACCCCAATGAACTAGTGAACGGAAAGGCCATCTTATCATAGGCTGGACACAGCTGAGGAAAATCCACTCAAAGTGGGCTAAAGCATGATGGTGTATGCCTGCCATCCCAGAACTTGGGAGGCTGATGGTAGGAGGATCATGAGTTTCAGGCCAGTCTGAGCTACACAGTCATTGTTAGAATTGCAGGTAAGGTTGGGCCTATAAAGGGAGGCCCTGTCTCAGAAACAAAACCAAATCCAAAGGAAACAACGAAAATAAAAATATATAAAAGGGCTCAAACCAGTTGTTACATGCAAAGTTCTGTGTGTGTGTGTGTGTGTGTGTGTGTGTGTGTGTGTGTATAGATAGGGGCGGGGTTGACAAAAATAAAAAACAAAAACTGGTACTTTCTTTAGGTTTCAAATTTCTGGCTTCCCCTTGATTTTATACACACACACACACACACACACACACACACACTCACTCACACACACACACTCACATGAACACATGTGCACACATGCTCGCTTGTGTAAAATTTTAAAAACATCATCTCTCCGGTACTTAAACAACATTCATGTCCAACTTCATCAGCACTACATCCTGGTTTGTAGAGTAGACTCGGTTTGCCTGCCCCAGGGATGAGGGGAGCGTGCCCAGAAGCAAGCAATGGAGAAACTGTTCATCTCCACTATCTTCCTGTGACCTATCATCCCAGATCTCGTTCAACATAATTCTTCCATTAAGGAAAAAGAATCAGTATTTAGTATTCTCCAGACTGATGATATCCACAGGCAGGCCCGCTCATGTTCTCTCTCTGAATGGAGTCAATCTGAAACAACTATGGCCAACTGAGCCCAGAATCTCCTCCCATTTAAGGTAGCCAGGATAAAATATGACTCTATCCCCTACTAGTTTCTCAAAAAAAAAAATATCAATACCATTCCACCTGCAGGTCTCGGAATACTCCTCACTCTGACAGTTACATGAGCCTCAGCAAACCCAGAAAGAGGAGAGAATGTGAAAGTCAAGACTCCTTGCAGCCTGGTTGCCCAGTGTCTTTGCCATCAGACCTGGGGACATACGCCAGGCTGACAATCTCATCTTCCATTCACAGGACAAAGGGACACTGTGCCAGCTTCTCCTTCCCTTGACTGCCCAAAGCACTTACAGTCTCTGCTGCACATTTTGACCCAAGGTCATTTTCAAGTCAGCACTCCGGTATATTGTCTTTTTATCCTCCATTGGATTTATTGAAATCTTGAAGGCTCAGAGACTTTATAAGCTTCCTGAGGACTGAGACCTTGCTGTGGCCTTCTTATGCAAGCTCCAAATAGCATCTGGTGGGGAGAGCTTTGAACAGAAAAGAAATGATCCAAGGCCCAAGGCTGATCTAGAAGAATTTAACCCTTACCTGCCAAGGGCTTACTCCTTTGTAGCTACAGTTTAATTTCTTCTCTGCAGCAGGTGCTCCCCTCCTTTCTCTATGTGTAGGTACACTTTAATGTGTGAGTGTGTGCGGAAGCCAGAGGACAACTTTTAGGGTGTCGTTTTTAATAGGGGTTCTCACTGGCCTGAGACTCAGCAAGTAGGCTAGCCTGGATGACCGTCTGATCAACTGTCTCACTGATCCCAGTGCTGGGATTACAAGATCATTTTTTTTCTCCCCCTTTGAAACAGGGTCTCACTGTGTGGCCCTGGCTGACCTGGAACTTGCTATGTAGACAACATTGGCCCTGAATTCACAGAAATTTCATATGCTTCTCCCTCCCCAGTCCTTGGATTAAAAATATATACCATATGCCTGGGATACTCAGAGTAGACTCTGGAGGTTGAACTGTGGGACCTCATCCTTGCAAGGAAGACACTTTACTGAATGAGCCAGTTCCCCAGCTCCCTGGCTCCTCAGTCCCTTCACCTTTCTCTGCCATCCAAGGACTTGGAAGCCCAGCGCTTTCCATTCCGATGAAAGTTTCCCACAGAAGTGAGAACA